GCACACACAGAGAGACAAAGGGACTTCATTGACTGGTCGGAGGCAAGTGTTGTTTAGTGAGCACATCGCAGTAAACTGGGCTATTGCACACGCACGGGCAAGGCACCACCAGGGCGCACAAAGACAAAGACCCCCCCCTCCCCCCCGTGTAGCCTTCACGGACTATTGGGTCAAGTGCTGTTCCTTGAGCAGCACCTATGAAGCACCGGAACGCACGAGGGGGGAGGGGGGTGGGGTGGGTGGTCAGCAAAATGCCCGGCCGCCTTTGTCTCCCTCGTGGCGATGTTTACACCACTACACCAGGTAGTCATGTGAGGCTGAGTCGACCTAGGGGAGGCCCGGTTCAGATAATCGTCACTGGTGTTGGCTGTGAGCGGGAATCGAACCCGGGGCGCCAGGTTCGTAGCGCAGCGCGCTAACCGCTGCACCACCGCTCCCCACACACAGAGACACACACACAGAGACACACACAGACACAAGACAAACGGCAAACACTCAAAAGGATGTTTCTTCCCCGATTCCTTCCCTTTTAGGAAGCAGCGTTAGCAAACGTTGTTCGTGTGGCACCATGCCCCTCTACCCCCCCCCCCCCAATGCAATTAAACCTCTATTGTGAGCGACAGCTCTGTTTGTCTCCAGCCGTTCCGTGTCATCCTTTCTTGGGCCAAATCCCAGTTTTACCCCGATAAAATGCGACTGGGCCTGGCTGTGTGACTGACTGGTGTACTGTGGCCGGGTTGGTTTCGTGTACAAGTGGATGTACAACATTTTAAACAATTTCAAACAATTCCAGCGCAGCCGGGCCGGGTCCAGCTGGCCAGATGGTTCATTATTCCTGCCGGAGTAAACGATGTTGCCGACACAAGCAGGAAGAGACATTGGGTAAATATTTGTAGCCGCCCTCCCTCAACCCCCCAACAATCCTCCCACGCCCACGAAGGGTGCCACGGTGGCTAGGAGGCGTTAACTACCTCGCCTGGTATGCAGGAGGTTCGTGGGTTCGATCCCGACCCTGGCGCCTGCTGTATATTTGGAGTTTGAGTGTCTCTCTCTACGTGGTGAGATGTTAACTACCTCGCCTGGTATGCAGTAAGTCGTGGGTTCAAACCCGACCCTGGCGCCTGCTGTATATTTGGAGTTTGCGTGTCTCTCTCATCATCATCACGGTGCCTCTCTCTCTCCCCGTGGTGGTAGCGAGGATTTTGTTCCGGGTTTTTCCCCCTCCACCTTTCGAATCAACATCACGCGTTCAGAGTAGTTGGCAAGCTGTACATTTCCACACATTGATGAGACACCTCGTTGGGCTATCATTTGCGATGGCCTGGTCGCTTCTGAAAGAAAGCTACACAGCTCAGTTGGGGCCTTACCTGGTAAAATACAAATAGTTTCGCGTTTTCGTTCTTAATTTGAGTAAATGTTCCCACTGCCGGTGCAACATTTGACCCCCCCCCATTAATATTTGTACTCCCAAAAGAACAGTAATTCGTTAATGGTGGAGGTTCACGGTTAGAAGAGCTACTTCACTGGTGAGGATAGAGTGAGTGCCAAAGAGCTGGCGTATGAAGCTAAACTCTAATGAAAACCAACTGAGGAACTTTTCACAAAATTGCTGCGTCGAGCCTAAGGGAGGCCCAGGACCGTTACATACCCAACATACAAACTCCACTCACTCACACTGTAGAACAGGGGAGGAACACACAAACTTCACTCACTCTCAGTCTGTACAACAGGGGGAGGACATACAAACTCCACTCACTCACACTGTAAAAACAGAGGGAGATCATACAACCTTCACTCACACTCTGCAGACCAGGGAGAGAACATATAAACTCCGCATAGAAAGTCACCCGAGTCGCGAATCGAACACATGCCCTTATTGTTGTGGGGCACGGGTGCCACCACCGCGCCACCCTGCCTCCCAAAGCAATAACAATTAGTTGTTGTTGTTTTAACTGGCGTTCTAGCGAAAAAGAAGCCCCGACTCCTCGAGCCGACTGCAGTAACTCCCCGTGACCGCACGCGCGTTTCAAATCGATCACAGTTGGATTAACAGGGCATCTGCAATGCAACAGTGGTGAGCGGCGGTGGACTGGGTTAGCGCTGCACTGCACGATGAACCACGGCCAGACCTGGGGTCGATTCTCGCTCACGGCTTCTTAACGTCGGCGGCGAGCGAAATACAAACACGTTCTCGGCCCCCCCTTCACCGACCAGCGCGGCGAAGGATGGTTAATTTAACCCCCATGACCGACAAGGGCCTTCATCCAGCAGTGGCTAACCGGGGGGCTGTCGTGCAACGTGAGCACGAATTTTCAAACAGGCACTCCCGTCACAGGCGAAGCGATATGGACTCCCAACAGGGTTGCATGGAGTCGGCAGCACGGACGGCTGGGGGAACGGGAACTCCATTGGACGAGGGTGGCAGAGGAGAAGAAGCGACCCCCTCTATGAGAGAGCGGGGTTGTGTCGCGTCAGCGAGAACACTGGCGCACAACGGGTCCGCTCGGCGAAAAAAAAAAGTCCGCCAAAACGTTCGCTACGCGGCGAACACCGCACCTGCGATTGGCACGGTGGGCCACGCACGGCGCGAAAGAAGTCCAACGTGCGTACGGCGTGGTCCGGTAAGCTCACGCGTCGGCCTTGCTGGGGTTGTAGGCGGGCGTTAAACGACCAAGGGCTTGCAGGCTGCCTCTCTTCTGACAAAGATCTGGCAAAAATGAAGCCGCCAAATCAACCCGGCGATAAATGGTGACCGCGACGGTCGTTCTTCCGCGGGACTGCTGATGGAAGATGCAGAGCAACGAGCTACAATTTCACATTCACGTGGTCAAGCCAGCAGACAACCGGCGTCAGGAGTGAGCGGAGTGCGTCATCATCGCCGCGATGTCTCCTTCGTGTTCGTGGATCGGGGCCGTTGCGCCGTTACTTTGCTGGGTTTTTTTTCCTGGATTTTTCTGTTGCGCAGAGTCACTTTAAGATGTTCTTTGTTCATGTTTTTGTTTGTTGCGGTTGCACCCGAGTCAAGAGCCGCATGGCTCACAGGGCTATACCTAATCAATGAAACCGAAACGTCGTTACGGTCTCTCTTCTGGATGACCGTAGCAGTCGCACACCGCCAGAGTTTTTATTTTAAATCTTGTGCATCGGGGCATCCGCCCGCATCCGCTGCCGTGGTTTGTGCGGCGAATGCGGTTTTTCGCGGATGATCAAAAAGGCCCAGGGATCTTTCTGCGGCAGGAGCGGACGGCGACGGCCGGAGGCGCCTCGGGGAAGAGCGAAGAGGAATGGGCGACGCGAAGTGGACGGGCGTCAAGCGTCAAGCGTCAAAACGCTGGACCGATGATGGAAGCCGTCTTCAGTTGAAGGCCGCAGAGGGGAACGGAGAAGTGGTGGAGAGAGGCCACCGCGATGAAGTGGGCCCCGACACGCTGAACTTCTTTCGCGCCGCACATAGCCAACCGTGCTTACGTAGCCAACATCAACACAATGTAGCCCGAGGGAGCCCCAGATGAGAGAATACAAATTTCACGAGTGACAACAGCTGCATCACGGATGTTACATTATTATTTAAATCGCGGGGTGACGGGGGAGGGAGGGAACCTCATTTCACCCCGCTGCTTGCGTTCATTAGCGTCTCCTCCACTGGAGGAAAAAAATCCACCCAAAATTCACTCTCACGCCACCTTCCCACCCGTCCCCAGCTGGACATCCCATCGCAGAGGCCGATCTGCTGCACGGAGAGAGGCCTCCGCATCATTGAAATAATTATCGAAATGATAATTAAACAAAATTTGAATATTGCAGTAATAAAAACAAATTATATTCATAGCCACGTCTAAAAGAGAGAGAGAGAGAGGGCCCTTTTGCCGATGGCATCTGGCAGTTATCACCGGCTTCGATTTCAATGAAGATGGAGAGACCGTTGCGTGTCGACAAACCGGCTCCGGATGAGTTTTTTTCTTGCACCGAATATCAAAAAGCTCCTCGACTAATTCATTTCCACAGGGCCGCGTGTGCGCGCTCGGGGTTGCATTGAAAGGGATACTTTAATTTATCGCGTGGAGACAGAGGTTGCCGGATTATCCTAATGGCAAAAGTAGCTACATATGCTACGGGCCCCGCACTTTCAAAATGCTTTCAAGCTATCAATTCCGGTTCAGTGATTCTGCACTTGCTTTATCACCATAGTACTATACTGCCTTCAACTTTTACGAACGACTGGGTGATTAAGGATAGCGATTTATCATATTTATCTGGCTGTATAGCAAATGAAAAAATACAATTACTTTACAATGCACGTTACAAATTCGTGTATTTTTTAAAAAATTAGGGCCCCTTTATAACATATTGCTACAGGCCTCGCACTAGCTTCATCCTGCACAGGAGACAGACGAGACGGACGGACGACGCGTGACGGTGGCACATTGCCCGCCGATCTACGCTGTCACTTTCATAATCACGAGGCCACATGGCCACGTTGCAGCGCGTGGACTTAGGTCACGGTGCCAGAGGGTGGGGTGGAGTGAATTGGTGGCGGGCAGGTCTGGTGGAAATCAACCCGCCCGCCCCCCACGTCCTTCCGTCTGCCGGAACAAATCCGCGCGGCCGTGACGACGTGTCGCTTCTCAATTGCCACCGCTAAAACAAACTAGCAAGACGGGGGAGGTCGTGAGAGAGGGTGAGAGAGAGTGAGTGAGAGGGTGCGAGAGAGAGTGAGAGGGTGAGAGAGAAAGAGGTAGTGAGAGAGTGAGTGAGAGGGTGAGAGAGAAAGAGGTAGTGAGAGAGACTGAGGGTGAGAGAGAGTGAAAGGGTGAGAGAGAGAGGTAGTGAGAGAAAGAGTGAGAGGGTGAGAGAGAAAGAGGTAGTGAGAGGGTGAGACAGAAAGAGGTAGTGAGAGAAAGAGTGAGAGAGAAAGAGGTAGTGAGAGAGAGGGAGGTAGTGAGAGTGAGTGAGAGGGAGAATAAGAGAGAGAGAGAGGCAGGGAGGGCGGGAGCGCTTACCTGCACGGACGCCCGCACGCCAAAATCGATCGGCGACTGGAAACTCTGTCTCGCTCTCCTCTTCCTACTTCCTCCTACCCCTCGGTAGGGCGAATAAAATCAAATAGCACCGCCCGCCGGAACCTCGGGAGAACCGAATCACGTGCTGGGTTGGCCCCGCGGGGGTCTCAGCGCCGTAGCCGCCCGCTCAACGCGTGAATGAAGAATAAAAAGCCTCCGCCGTTGATGCAACGAGAACGCATTCTTCGTTTCTCTTGATTTCCTTCCCCGGAGCGTCTTCCGCGTCTTCCGAGACCTCGAGACGTCACGACGGGCGGCCGGACGGCGTGCCGGGCGCAGGGCGGAGATGCAGTGGAGATGCTTCCAAGGAGGAGGTGGTGGGGTTGGAGGTGGTGGATGAGCGGGCCGGACCGGGGTTGGGGTTGTTTCCCCCCCCCCCTTCAGCGTTCAACCCCGCACGTCTCCCGCTGGGCAAGCGTTGATGAAATTCGCGGAGCGACGGGGGAAGAAGTGTTGTTGGCTAGGTTGGGGTTGCGTCGGTAAGCGGACCGGTCCAGAGGAATACCCCAGAACCCCCCCCTCCAATAAAACCCCACGAAAGACGCCGCTTTCTGAATTAGCCACGCAGCCCACTGGCGGTAGGCAGGGCCAGGCACAGAGAAGAGAGAGAGCGATAAGGGAGAGAGAGAGAGAGAGACCGCGCGCCACTCTTTGTCTGGCTCACATCTTTGGTGGCAAAAAAAAAATCTCGCAGAATGAGACTGCGTGGAAAGTATGTGGCAGCGGCGGTGGTGGTGGGGGTGGCGACGAGGGGTTGGTTCATGTTGCCGGAGCAGTGAGCGAGGGAGGAGTGGTGGGGGTGGAGACTGCTACCCTATTCACTGATGTACAATGGCCCCGCCAGACACGCATATACCCCAGATACGTGCGCCTTGCAATAATGTCTACGTTGATACCCTGGCTTTTAGTGAACGCGCAATGTGTGTGCGGATTGGGTGGGGGGGGGTTGTGCAGCAGCGGCTTGTGGAAATGCACCGCAAGCCTGCGCCGATCGGCGTTGGATAACATCGGTGGGACACGTGCCGCGTGAGCCCGGTTTGGGCCACCTCTAGCTCGACTCAGCCTTGAATAAGTAGCCGGTGTGGTTGTGTGAGCCGATCAGCAATGGGCGTGGTACTGAGCTCAGTGCTTCGTAACAGTCACTTGCTCGCACAAGCTAAAGGCTGAGCAGGTGATCGTTGTCTTTGTTTACATATGGGTAGTTTCTGCTTCAATGCATAGCATTTAAAAGTCAGCTGGTAATGCGTATATATGTTAAGAATGAATACTGTATCTGATATTGGCAGCGCACTGCACATCAGCGGCGAGTGAGATCTGAACCGGTCCTGAGTGAGGTTCGCACCTTGACTGATTATTGTGGTGAAGTATGGACAAATAGCTTCTGGCACGCCATGGGAAGACCTTCATCGCGAGCTGGAGTGATAACGGACGGTACATTGTTGAATTACCACTACATCACACCACGTACACCCGACAAATGTCCAACACATATACCCTACATTACACCACGTATACCCCCCACACACACCGCTGCACGTACGAGATTACATCATTGCATTATTGCCGAGATAAAATCCACGCGTTCATGATTGTTTCAAAACACACACATTAATTCATAAATACATACCAGAAACAAGATACATATACACACAGATGTAGCCATACATAAGTTAACACATAGAACCTGCGTAGCCAATATGATTCATTTTAGATTTTGCATTCACGTGGTAAAATGTCTGCCCTAGTTAAGGTTGAAAATTTGGCCAGACTATTCGGTGACCTGTCCCAAAAATCAATTATGAACGTAACACATACATGAGTATATATCTATATGAACCCATGCACATGTGTAAGCATAACATAGGCACACACAGCAATACCTCGGTTGACGTCGAGGATGCGTTCCTGAAAGGTGCGACGACGAATATCTTAACGACGTAAAGAAATCGAAGCGGCTTACGGGGTAGGTGGTGGTGGGTGGCGGTGGTGGGTGGTGGCGGTGGTGGTGGCGAAGCGACGGATCACGAGAAAGCAACGCGCTCTTGGGTGCGTAGGGGAGACGCACATCGAGTAGCGGTGTTGATGAGGCGACGACGCATTTGCGAAACGACGCAATAGGGGAGAGAGACGTAAATATTGGGCGGTACTGCTGTACAGTCTGCGGTGATGCGAGTGGCAAGGCAGGCCAGCGGGGGGAAAGTCAGAGAAGGTTCGGTCCCTGTGGAGATGGAGCGATGATGATTCGGGGCCCTAGCGTGGAGGAACGAGGCACACCGCGGCGTCGTGCCGGGGTGGATACAGATCGTGGCTGCCGATGATGATAATGCAACGCTGACAACAGTTTAACAGCGACCACGAACTCCAATTTGAATGTGCACAGCAAACAGTCGCATTAAAATCGTGCAAATGTCTGCAAGCCAAACCCAAGGACGGAGGTGAAGGGAATGAATAAATGTACTGTACTCTTATTTAAATCACAAAATCGAATCTGGGTTTTTTTGTGTTCGTTGAAGAAAAAAAAACGTTTGCCAGAACGTCAAGAAAATTGTGTTAACGCGGAGAGGCGAGCAGGGCGGTGGTGGGGTGGGGTGAGACGGAACGAGGATGCGCGTTTACTACGGAGAATGTGGTAGTCAAATCGTGCAGCCTTCACGCACACAGGCTCCGTCAGCACGCCCGTATAGCCTGGAACAGACTATTGGGGCAAGTGCTGTCAGCGAGAGACGCCCATGGAAGCCGGAACGGCAGACGAGGTGGGGGGTGGCCAGCAACCACGCCCGGCCGCCTTTGTCTCCCCCATCGTCGATTTTTTTTTTTAACACACCGCACCGGGTACTCATTTGAGGCTGAGTCGACCTAGCGGAGGCCCAAAGACAGACTCAGATAAAACCGTCACTGGTGGTAACCGCTCATCCCTCCCACCAAAAAAAGGCAAATATCCCCCGTATAGCCTTAACAAACTGTAGGGGCAAGTGCTTTAGCGAGCACTCTATGAAGGCCGGCACGGCACACGAGGCGGTGGGTGGCCAGAACCACGCCCGGCCGCCTTTGTCTCCCCTAGTGGCGATGTTTACTACACCGCACCAGGCACTCATTTGAGGCTGAGTCGACCTAGGGGAGGCCCAGGACCGGTTTAGATAATCGTCACCGGCGTTGGCCGTGAGCAGGGAATCGAACTCGGGTAGCCAGGTTCATAGCGCAGCGCGCTAACCGCTGCACCACCGCTCCCCGCCACCCATCACCGCACACCCACTCGCTCCATCGCCGACGAACGCGTTTCAATGCAGTGCCAGTGCTGACGTTTATATATCTCACCAGGTGTTCACTTGAAGCTGAGCCGACCCAGGTTATGGCCTAGGACACGTTCAGACGTCATTAGCCACTGATGTTAGCCGTGGTCGGGAATCAAACCCAGCGTGTCGGGTTCACAGCACGCTGCGTGCAGTGGTAGATTAAACTAGTGCGGGGCCTGTAGCATATGTTAACAGGGGCCCTAAGTAAAAAAAAAGACGTTAAAACACGCATTTTTTACTTGCATAGTAAAGTAATTATGTTTTCATTTGCTATACAGCCAGATAAATATGACAAATCGCTAACCGTTAACACCCGGTTGGTCATAAACGTTGAAGGCGGTATAATACTATAGTAATAGAGCAAGTGCAGAATCATTGAACCGGAATTGATAGCTTGAAAGCATTTAGTGCGGGGCCCGTAGCTTCTACTGCATATGTAGCTACTACACATGTAGCTACTAGCTAGTAGTAGCTACATATGTAGTAGTAGCTACTACTACAACTACTACTACATAGTAGTAGCTACTACTACAACTACTACTACATATGTAGCTACTTTTGCTGCTAAGAGAATCCAGCACTCGTTGCTTGGACCACTGATCTATTGCACCTGCTCCGGTCTAGACACAACACCATCCACCGATTATAAACCCTTGCATATATGACGCGTTTTATATTTGGGGAAAAAACTGCGAAACTCTCATAGCCCGCTTTTGTTTTTTTTGGCCGTGACCTAAGCTGACCTATGATGCACACTAACTATGCAATTGAAATCCACGCTGCAGCAATAAATGCTGGGATTCACTCAATTTACTCGGCCGTAAAGCGTTTCGTCGGCGCGCATTTTTTTGTTTTGTGGCAAACATCGCCAACGGCGTCGTTTCATTTCTCAAAAATCTTCTCGGCCGGGCGTGTTGGCGCGCAGCCCCCAGAGGTCCGCATATTTTCCCGCAGGGGAGAGGCTGACGGGTCACGCGGGCCTGTGGAATTCCCGAGCCTGCTGAGAGGAGCCCGAGGAGATGGCAGTACAGAAAGCAGGTCCCCGTAACCCCGTGTGGCAATGTAACAAACATGTAACTAAATTGAGCGGATCTAAAAAAAAAATGTTTTTGCGTCGCATTGCCATGCCATGAACATCGACAGCGTGGGAGAGTGCAGCTCCCCCCCGCAACCCCCCCCACCTCACCGTGTGGATAAATAGTAGTTCTATGATATCACCTTCCAAAGGCTGTTCTCCAGCACCTCCGATTAGCACGGTTGGCTGCTGCGTACGGCGCGAAAGAAGTTCAACGCAATTCGGTGCAGCGTCACAGAGGTGGAAAAATAATTCAACCTTAAAAGCCACGGATCAGGATCGCGTTGGCGGACGCGTGGCGGTGCGGGTTGGCGCATCTCGCCTCGTCCCACGACCAGCGGCGGCACGGGACTCGGACCCGGGATCCGGCGGGGCAGCAGTGAATTACTTTTTCTTTGAGCCCGAGACGTCATCTCCGTGCTAAGAGATGTACGTCTCAAAATGACCCTTTCATCCCAGGGCACGCGACCAAGTGTGGCCTTTTTATCCCCCACCCCCCCCCCCCCCCTTAATTTTCCTGTCTGGTACGCTTCGTAAAGATAGCATGCGCTCAAAGGGCGGTCAAGTGGCTTGTTAGGGAGAAAGTGTGTGGCTTTAGCTCACTGAACGTTCGGCCTGTTTGATAATTCATGCATAAGCGGTGGGAGAAAATACGTTGGAGGCACCGCAGCGCAGATGCGATGGTTGTGAGCCCAGTGGTGCTCTCTCTAATGTTTTTTTCGGATATATTGTGTGTACATTTTGATGATTGTGCGAAGTAAACTAAGCCTTGGCAAGTGACTACAAACGTTTAACAATGCATTGATTGATGTGTGTGTGTGTGCTGTGCTGTGTGTGCTGTATATCTTTTGTGTTTAGTAATGGCCTTACATGGGCCACATTGGGTGGGGGGCACCACCCACCCACCCTGGGACAGCGCGGTGTGGGTGGGCATCGTTCACTCACCCTGGGACAGCGCGGTGTGGGTGGGTGGGCATCGTTCACTCACCCTGGGACAGCGCAGTGTGGGTGGGTGGGAATCGTTCACTCACCCTGGGACAACGCAGTGTGGGTGGGTGGGTGGGAGGGCATCGTTCACTCACCCTGGGACAGCACGGTGGGCTTGGAGATGTCCTGCCCGTCCACGGAGCAGGCGTTCCCCTGCGGGTGCAGCGTGAAGGTGCTGCCGGCGCGGTTCTCGATGTGGCAGTGGTCGGCCGCCACCCCGCGGCCGTGCAGGGCGACGTCGACGGGGGGCTGCCCGCCCGGCAGGCCGAACGTGGTGCGGGCTGGCGCCACCAGGCAGACACGGACACAAGCAAGGGGAGCAAGGTTCACCAGGGTGTTCAGTGGGGTGTGGTGGTGGGAGGGGGGGGGAGTGAGATCACCCACTTTTAAGTCAACCAAATAACTGAAGGATATTTTTTAATTGTATTCCACCAGGTAAGGCCCCACTGAGCTCTACAGCTGTTTCACACGTAGGGCTTTCGCGCCCCAATATTATTCGTGATAAAGGTTGTTTGGGTTAGATCGCGTAAGTATAAACGTGTCGTGAACCCGCCGCCACCCGACAGTACTGGAAAAATCGCCCGATGATGCTGGATGTAATTACCAGCGAAACGTCGTTCTGCTCAAATTGTAAATGTGGTGGATTTACTCTCCAACACACCGGTCGGCAGAAGTAGTAACTAATTGGCACGTTGTGTTTACGTGACAAACCTTACTAATTGACTATGTCGGGTGTTGGCGGGTTAACGGCACATTTATTAATTTTGTGAATGCCACCCAAGAGGGCCGGCAGTGTCCCGCTAGGCCTTGTGGTAAAGAACAAACAGTGTGTCAAGGTGCTTTCAGCGAATTAATGAGAGCTATTGTGCACGTGGGAAGGAAACCGGAGCGCCCGGCGAAAACCCACACCGCCTTATGCGAGGGGGCAACGCTCGATCCCCGTACAGACGGCGAAACACATTCCAATAAGTCCACTTGCTGTGCTGCCGTCACCGGCACGCCACATCGCTTACATAGATTGTAAAACTAGTAAAATATTCACATATTTCATGGAGACCTCGCGCTGTTTGTTGTTGTTTTTGTTCTTCGTTGTCATAGTCTTTGTTGTCGTGTGTCGTCATTTGTTGTTGTTCATTGTTGTCGTGATCATTGTTGTCGCGTGTTGTTGTTTGTTGTTGTTCATTGTTGTCGTGAATGTTGTTGTTGTGTTGCTGTTTAGTGTTCATTGTTGTTGCGTGTTGTCATGAGTTGTTGTTGTTGTTCTTCCTTGCCGTGGTCACTGTTGTCGCGTGTTGCCACGTGTTATTATCATTGTTGTTGCTGTTGTTGTTGATGCTGCTCACCTTGGTCCAGGGGCAGCAGGGTAA